GAAACAATAGTTCATGGAGTCGTATATGCATTGTTAATGCTCACCACTGAACACAGAGAGAGTGGGAGTTTGAAACACTTGCAGAGTGAACTTGGGACTTGGAGAGGGGTCACGGAGCTACAGAGGAATCCAGATCCTCCTTTCTGCCTCAGGGCTCCTCCTCAGCCCGGCTGTAGTGTGGACCTTCTGTTTAATATGGTGGCACCTCTCTGGAGAGTGGGAGGCACCTGCTCAGCCGAGAAGGCCTGGCGGAGGCCTGGTCTGAGTGGCTAGGTGGGTGTTGGGGACCACATCCAGGTGGAGTTCTCCCTGTGTGCTTAAGCGGGGTGCACTGTTCCCTCATTGATTCTCTCCTCCCTGGCGTGGCTCACCTAGGAAAGCAGCAATAACTCTCTGAGCCCCTTGTCTGTGCTGGGCACTTCATTCACTCTCAGTACAAACACCCATGGAGGGTCATCTGTGAGGCAGGCAGTGTCCTAGGGGCTAAGGACACTCCAGGCCACTAAGTGGTCTGAAACGCCTGCCCTTGTTGAGTTTATATTCAAGCATGGGAGAGACAGAAATAAGCACTGCACATGACCGAACAGCAGATTATGAAGTGCAGTAGAAGGCAACGTGTGCCATTACAAAAGGAGAGTAGGAAAGGGGGTTTGGCTGGGCCAGTGGAGAGGTAAAACACCTAACTCCCATGCAGCTCTAATCAGGGTGTTCTACTGAGGAGGGGACAGATGAGCAGATACTGGAGGATGGTAGGGGATGGAGGCCCAGAGGTATCCAGAGGAATATTTGGAACAGCCGAGGCAAACACGCAAGGTAGGGGCATGCCTGGGGTCTGTGCCACGACACACAAACAACGTGGTGTGAGGCACGCGTCTCTATATCACCTGGAACAAGGAAGGTCATGAGACAGGCACTCAGCAAATATGTTTAGGATTGGATTAAAGGGAGAGGTTGCCAAAAGGGTGGAACAGTGAGGCATGGGAAATCACTTGCCCAATGGAATCTGTGGATATTTCTCTCTCTTTAGGTTCATCTGCCTCTTCTAAGGTCTTTGACTAATATTACCAAGAGGGGCAAGAGGTTGAAGCACACCCTTGGTAGTGGGCAATGTGAGCACCTATTTGTTCCAAGGCAGCTCGGCCATCCATCATAGTGGGGCGAGGGACTGTTGCTGAGCGAAAGAGGAATTGTGAAGAGCTGAACTAGGGGAGGGAGGGCACCTTTATAGCTTCTGTTCTTCTGCCTACCCAAGTGGCCATGCAAACACATCATTGTCCTTGATGCCCCACCTCCTTGTATCAGGGGTATATTTAGTCCCTGAGCCTGAGAATCTCAAGGTGCCCACAGAGATAGGATTGCCTCCTGTTACATTACATGGAAGTGACGGAGGGAACACGGCTTTAAAAAAAGAGTCTAGGAAGGGGCTTTGTGTGGAGGGGTGCCCCAAAGACATGGGTGTTCACTCAGTGTGACATGGTGAACTATGCACTCCACTGAAGGAGTGGGATCCTGAGTGTCCTGCGGCATGTATAATCCAGTAGTGAGCACATTGGTTTCGAGCCAATGTTCCAAGTGTGCAGGCTACACTGTTTCCTTATGTTGGTGCCCGCGACAGGAAATGACTGAACAGGTTACCTTGCAGTATAGATTTCAGTGGCTAAAATCATCAGGGGCTCTTTCTGGAAGGTGTGCGGGTGTGTTAGTAGGTGTTACAGGAGTGCTGAGCTTTGTGTTTGTAATATATGCCTTTTTCTTTGAGAGGATGGAAGAGGAGCAGCAATGGGGAAGTTCAAGATTACCTCAGAAGAAAACAAAGTGGAACGCAGGAGACAGCAATGCGTCAAACCCAGAGCACCTTATCAGGTGGAGAGGAAAGCAAAATCCACGTCTTCACATGATACAGATCAGAAGAGATTCAAATGCGAATGTCCCTACTGCCAGAAGTGTATGGGGAACACTTCCGGGATCTCCACAGGAAAGAAAGCAACCTCTTGTTCTTCCCCTGGGATAAGCTAATGCAAGACCTCAACAACCTGACCCTCAACCCTGGTACCACCCAGCCCCCTCTTGTCCAAGGAAGGTTACAGGAAAGGGAGGAGAAGAGCCAAAAGCAGGTGCGGTGGAAAAGCAAAAGGAAGTTTCAGAAGCTCCTCCAAGAATAGATAGAATATCTCTGAGACTGTCACCCTCAGGGGAAGGCAGATCAGAACAGATGAGACCAGGGGTGTCAACATCACCAAATCCTAGGAACCTTTTGGACACATGGTCAGGAGGAGTAACAGCATGCAGCCCGATGACCAACAATCCCAGCAGCCAGCGATTCAATCCAGCTCCAGAAGTGTAGCAGCCTTTCCCCCAGCGGTTTTAACATGCCCCCTGAGGCATGCTGGGAGGAGTTGCTCCTTGGCAAGTGCAACCAGACAGCAATGTTTCTACACTGTCCTTAGCAATGTTTCTACACTGTCCTTAGCATTGCTCCCATGGTGTCAGCTGCCACTTGCCCTCCTTGGGTTTCAGTGGTTTCTCCCCACTTTTCCTGGCTGCTAATATGGTACACAGCATCTATGTGGTGTCTCTGACTTGTTTTGAAAATGTGCTCTTTCCATTTTAGCCATGAGAGCCCAGTGGGAGCGTAAGGTCTGATAGAATGTGAGTGTGTGTGTGTGTGTGTGTGTGTGTGTGCATGTAGTTTTTAGTTTGAAATCATCATAGATGCAGAGGAAGTTGCAAATGTAGTACACTCTTCACCTAGTTTCCCCCAAGAAAGTTGCATCTGACATCACTATGGAATGACGTTAGAACCAGGACATTGATACTGGTGCCTCGGGACTGTCAATCATGATAAGTGTACATTTGCGTAGCCGCCACTACAATCAAGTTTCAAACCGGTCTTATCACCACAAAGATCTTTCTTGTGCTACTCCTTTGTAGTCACACCCACCACCTGGCCCATCACAATCCCTAAGCACAGGCAAGCACTTAATTGTTCTCCCTTTGCTACAACTGTTTGTTTTGAGGGTGTTACACAAAACACAATCACTCACTATGGTGACCTTTTGGGGTTGGTCTTTTCTACCGACCTCCATGCCCTCAGTTCTGTACAATCTGTTCTGTGTATCCAAAGTCTGTTCCTTTGGGATGTAGCTCAGTGGTAGAGCCCAGCATGCACAAGACCCTGAGTTGGATCCCCAGCACTGCCAAAAGAAAATCTATTCATTTTTATGGCTGTGTGGCATTCCCTGGTTTGGATGTACCTGCTGTAGGGCATTTTGGTTTCCAGTTTTTGGGTGATATGCTACTTATGTTTTGAAAGAAAAGAAAATTTGGCCTTGTCTTGCAGTTACTGGGCCAGCGCCAGTGCAGGAGGCTTGAGGGTGGTGCAGGACAGGTCTAGTCCAGAGGGAAGTGGGGGTGTCTGCTGTGCTTTGCTGTGCTTGTGGGGTGAGGTCCTCTCAGTGTTCCACACTTGGTGTCTCATTCTGCTGTGTGCTTGCCTGTTTAGTTGGAAGACCAGCTAATACCTAGCAGAGAAAGCAGTGAAATGGTCACAGCAGGTTGAACAGCATAGAGAGCATCTCATTACCTGTGTTAAACTTTGGAGAATAACACCATCTCTGACCAATTGGTTTATTAATATTGCATCTCCTGTGATAAACATGCCAGTGGAAGGTTTCTTTATTGGCCCTTTTCTAGACATCACTCCTCCCTCTGTCGTGGCCATTAAAGCAGGAACACTGTGCCAGCTTATAACAACAGGGGCGTCTATTTCCTGGAATTCAGTATTTATTGTGATGATTTGTGTTGTTCTTTCTACTCTGCCAGCCATCTTCCAGGAAAACACTAATGCAGAAATTTGAGTGAAAGATCATCTGGGTTTTAGTTTCCCTATCATCCTCATCATCTCAGGATTAGCGGGTGCTTTATTTCTGATTTTAGATCTCCTCAGTAATGGAAACAAGGAATTTGTCAAACAGAATTTCCCGTCAGACCATAAAATATTGCAGAGAAGTGGCAAGGGGGAGGAGGAAAGCAGAAACGGAACCTGGTGTACTCTGAGAAGGCTTGCCATCAATATTTACCCCAGACGTCAATTACTCTGTTGTGGTTACCTATAGTTAATTAATAGTAGCTTGGTAGGAAATGTTGGGACAACTGATTCACCCAATTAATATTATTCTTTCTCTCGTGTCTAACTAATAATTAGATAGTGGCACGGTCCTTGCTAACATTAGCCTTCTTTCAGAGAATGAACTAGATAACTAAAGCTTAAAAGAGATTTACGTTTTCTTTCTCTTTTTACCTTTCAGGTAACAAATTTGTTTCAAATTCGCATCTTTGTAGACCACCAACTATGGAAAGGGTATCAAGTTATCTATGTTGCCAATTTTCTTTTTATTTCTCTTCTAGATTATTCCCTAGATTAGTCTGGCCATTCAAATTTTGGCCAGTCTGTTTTTATCTCTTTTTCTAGCTTCTACAATATCTCCACCCTCATATATATAGTGAGAATGGTGTGAGGACTGCGCCATATTGATGTTGATAAGTTCTATTCAGATAACATTTTTGTTACAGTGACTCTTTGGTATCTCAAAAGGGGCTCAAAAAAGCAAACACTGAAAGCCTATAGTTCTTAGACATCGAATGATGATTTTACATTGTGAAACAAACAATGGCAACACCGGCACTAGTGGTTAAATGCAGTTTATTTGTTCCAATGACTGTAAAACTTACCTCACTTTTTTATCAGTCTGGCCATTAATGAATGCATTATGTGATCAGCCTTTTTATGCACGACACACCTATGAGAATGTCTTGTTTTCTTTTTATCAATGGCTCTTCAATCTTTAAATAAAGACAATCTTTGTTTCATTTGGTTTTTGATTAATGCCGTTTCCTAATTTAGGGTTTTCACTTTCCTAACTCACCAAGTAAAGTTGACCTCACATGTGTGTTGTAACTCTTCTATTTAAACAGTTCTGGGCAAACATAACCATTTCTTGCTGCTTGGTTAGTGGTAATGCCTTTGGTTCCTTGATTCCAGGACACAACCAATCTAAAGTACTCCGTAAGTATTAGCTTCACCCCAGGGCCACTTTTTTTGTATCACTTTTTTTTTTTTAATGTTGAAAAGTGTGTTAGCTGTGTGAAAATTCCTTGTATGTTCTCACTGTGAGAGGATCATCCTCAAAGCCTGTTTCTATTACATAATGTGAACAGATTTTTTTTTTCTATCACAGTATTAGCAAATAGATTTATTGGAAATGCCAAGAAAATACACTGATCAATAATAATAGTCTTATGTCACCTGGCTTTTAGTGAAAAATAATTGTAATTTTCAGCAGGGGTTTCTTTCTTATTCACCAGAGACTGAGCAGTGAATCTTCTGCTGTTTTTACAAATGAATTTCAAACACAGCCTTATGAGACAAATTTCACTTAATGTTACTGAATAAAGTGGAATTGAGTAAATTTTATCAGACTTTAAAAAAATCAAAGAGGTTGGACTCAAAAATAAATGAATGATTTTTTAAAAAAATTTAGAACTAATTTCCAGAAAGGCACTTCCAATTGTTACACATCCACCGTCAATGCATGTGGCATGTGTTGGATCTGAATCTTCTCCTGCATTTTGTATTGTCATTTATTAATAAGTTAGCTTTTTCAATAATCAACTACTAACATCTTGTGACTGTAATGTGCATGTCCCTCATGACCTGTTTTGTGCAACATTCTTTCTCGTGCGATTTTGGCATAGTTATGTCTTCTTTTGTGATGTCTCCTCTTGACTCTTCTTGGGTTTACCACTTTGATGTACTTTTAACTCTTAGATGTTGAAACTTTAAAAAATCTCATCATGGGTTCTTCTTGTTTTAATTTATTTTTTACTTTTAGGTAGACAATCTTTATTTCATTTTTTTATGTGTTGGTGAGGATCGAACCCAGTGCCTCACGTGTTTTAGGTGAGCACGCTACTACTGAGCCACAATCCCAGTCCTCATCATGAGTTCTTTTTAGTAGAGTTCTTATCATGTCTGTTCTCTCAACATGTAGTTTAAGGTTTTTTTTTTTTTTTGACCATTAACAGGGATTTTGTTAGTGTTTGTTTTATAATTTGCAGTTTTGGTACTGGCTATTGAAATTAGTGTTGCTTTAACACTGAGCTTTATCCCCAGCTCTTTCATTTTTTATTTGAATACAGGGTCTAGCTGTGTTTCCCAGGCTGTCTTTGAACTTTCAGTCCTGCTGCCTCATCCTTCGGGGTCTCTACCATTAGAGGTATGCACCACCATGCCCCACCTATGAATTTTTTTTTCATTTCTAAGAAAAATTCACTAAGTCCGAAGTCCAAATGGTTTGTGTGTGTGTGTTTCCTTCTGAAGTCATAGGACTTTTTGCATTTCAATCTGTGATCCATTTTTTTGTTACTTTCTTAAGCAGTGTGGTATTTAGTTAAGAGTATGTTTCATGGTTCTCCCTGTCCATGGAATTATTGTTGCTCCACATGATTTGTTTTAGACTTTCTTTCACTAAACCTCTTTTTAATTGCTTTTTCACTTTTTTTAAACCTCAGTTAGTTGCACTTGTCTTGAGCTTTTTCTGAATTTTTCATAGTGTTTTATTGATCTGTATATCTTTCTTGCTGCCCGTTCTACAATTGTGATTATTGCACTTATGTAATAAGTCTTGAAATCCAGTAGTGTGATTTTTTTCCATGTCATTATGTTCATTGAAATCATTTCAGTCATTAAAGTTAAATTGCCTTTCAATATGAAAATTTAGAATATATTGTAAATACTGTATCTATAAAATTTCTTTCTATGATTTTGATTGGAATTTCATTAAACCCAGATAACATTTTGTAAGGAACTGATAGGAAGTCCAAGAACTCACTGCTGTGTTCTTTCTCAGTTACCAGAGTTTGCTTTCTCTTCTCCTTCTAGAGTCTTCATATATTTATATAAAATGTTTAGGATTTTTATCAACAATTTGCAGGAGGAACAGGGAAAATTACATCTATTCATCTTTCTGGAAACATAAGTCCCCTACATATATTTAATATTTCTGAAGCCAACGATAAGATGAAATAAAAAGTTTTAGAATCTGAAGCAAGATAGTAGTTCTGAAATAATTCTTAAAAATATTTTATTTTTCATAAGCATCATTTCTATGTTCTACTTCATACAATGCCTGGAGCCCACTTGTTGTCAGGGTAATAATAATATTTGCTACTCGATAATATATATCTGTTATTGATTCTTAGAGATAAGGTACAATGAATGATCAGAGCAAATCCCCCTTTCTAATTTCCATTTATGTAGAGTTTCTGTCATCGCACAGTTTGACCAGAGGCATACAAGTAGTTGTGCATTCTACACATGTCATTCATTCATAACAAATATTTGATACACTCTTATTCCCTCAACTTTAAATATGCCATCAGGATGGGACTACATTCCATAATTAACTGATGAGCTATCTTGTTACACTTTTAAATGGGGTTTGTGGTTGAGGATGGAACCAGGCAGCTGAAGAGGTGAGATCTGTTGACTTGAAACTGAAAGGAGGAAGCTGCTGAAGGAAATATTAAGAGGGAGAGAGACTGTGCAGCAGCCTGAGGAAATGGTAGAGGTGTTCACAGGAGATTTTGTGACTTCTTTATCTTGGAGTTCTGTAATATCATGGCTCTTTTTTTTGTCATAATAATGAGACTAGGGCACTGGGTTCAATCCTTAGCACCACATAAAAATAAATAAAATAAAGGCATTCTGTCCATCTACAACTACAAAAAATTAACCACAACAAAAAAGGAAATGGATACATAACCCCTTCATCATCTGGTTACTATCAGCCTCCTGGGAAGGGGAAGGATTGCCCCCTGAGGCTCTCTTCCTGCCTTTTGGTCTTCTGATAGGCAGGATGGGAGAAGGGGCATGAGAAGAAAGGATACCTGAAATCTATCAAAGGGGCAAGACACCTCCATTTCCTGGGGGGCACCATCTCTGGACCTCCTCCTCTTCTGAGGAGTCTCTCATCTCTGGACCTCCTCCTCTTCTGAGGATTCTCTCTCTCTCTCTCTCTCTCTCTCTCTCTCTCTCTCTCTCTTTTAAATTAAATTTACTTTTTGTTCTTGTCTCAGCATTTCTCAGGTGTTTAATCTTCAGGACTAGGAAAATGAGGACCTGATTTTCAAGACAGTTTCAGAAATGGCTTCCAAATGAGCTTACCTCAGCTTTCAGTAATTGCTTGCTCACCTGGGCAAGTGTGTGTCATTTTGGTGATGTGCATCCTATAACAAAAGCAGTGATGGCAAGAACTGCCATTTACCCAAATGTTTCATGCACCTTATTTTATTTAAACCTCACAATATCCAGGTCGTATTCTTATCTCTATTATACAGATGAGGAATCAGGCTCAGAGTGGTTAAGGGAGAAAATGTCTCAGCCTACAGAGCCTATAAAATTTGGAAACTAGTAGGGCAGGCCCAGCATCAGACTCCTGATTATACAGCAGTCTACCTGGATCTTCCACCTAGAAGACTGATATTATATAGTGTTATTCACTTAAAATCTGAACCCCAGTTTCTTTATCTGTAAATGTGGGAATACATAGCACACATTAAGTCTTTCACTTTATAATCTTATACCTTGCAATTTATCCCTCTGCCACATGCTCTTAGTTCCTGAATAAACCCTCTAGAATTTGTCTACTCTTACTTGCTTTTAGTTGACTACACATGAAACATCTGTCATGTAGGTCATGATGGCAACAGTTGAGGTTGATCTAATCCCCTTTCCCCATGGCCCAGTCCATAAATATTCCTGAACCCTATCCTTGGGAAGGCAATTTGAGACTTGCTTCCCATCTCCACATGCCCAGTTGCCTTGTAAGTAAATATTTTCTCTTTTGCAAAACTCATTTCTGTGATCATCATACTGTGTGGTGGGAAAAATGGGCCTGTCAGTAACATTGGTGCTAGTCCTTAGCTTATGGGCTATAGGAGCTTTTCCTTGTTCTCTGGTGTCCTTCATGTGGGAGTATGAAGAACATTCTCATATCTGATTCAGATAATCATTGGATTAATTGAAAATTGAGGATAGTTAAATATCTTTGTTTTTCCTAACATATAGCTGATATCACTTATTATTTACCCCTAGAACTTTGTGAAAAATCCTGAGCATTACACACACACACACACAAACACACACACACATTTCTATGTCCTCTTTTCTGACTCTTCTTGCCCCATGTCCTTCCTTTACCCACAACCTGTGCTCCATATAGACTTGCCTGCAGCATCTGTGAACCTCCATTGTCTTTTTCTATCCATCCAACAGAGCAGAATCTTTCCTGCCTGACAGCAGCCTGGCTCTCTGGCACTCATACCTACAGCTTGACACTCAGCACTCTCTGGGCTCCAAGCTATACTGGCATTTTCATGCTATCTGCACTGTGTCTGCCAGGCTCTGACTCTTTCCAGCTTTTCTCTTGCTGTGAGAAGTCCTGACTCCAGGACTCTATTTGACTTTGCTCCCCTTTCAAGTCTATGTCAAAATGTCACCTCCTCCATGTGACACACCCTGGTCAATCTGTTTTATATTCTATCCTGCAACTCATCCAGTTCCTTGCCAAACTATAAATTTCCTTTGTCATTCTGTACTCTTTTCCCATCCTTTCCCATAGCACTTAACACATTCTAATATACTCTTATTTACAAGTATCATATATTTTACATTTTTACTATGTTATTTATATTAAGTATATATTTATAATATTTATTAATATCATATTAATAGTTTACATTCTTTAATAAAATACCAACATTTTCAACATCCAAAACATTGCTTACAAGCAAGCAGACATCAATAAATGTTTATTAAACTGATACTTTGGAAGTAAAATTAAAAGGGATATCCATTCCCATCAAGAGATGAAATGGAATATGTTTTTGTAGGCACAATATATGTGGATTTTTATTAGGTTTCTTGCAAATCTGTGAAGTTATTTGTGAGATCTTCAGTGGCTATAATATGAATAATTTTTCTATGAAATTCCACATAGTAGCTGGAAGAGTTCTCAATGTTGTGAAGAATTTAAGGCAACAAATTTTCAAACCTCAACAATGTCACCTTTAGAATTTATGCTTCTGATGCTTGCAAGAAATATTTTTATTTAATATATCCATTTATTTTTCTTATTTTTCTTGTTTATTATAATTATACATATTTATGGGATAAAGCATGATAATACATGTACACAATGTGTTAGCATTTCCATCTCCTTAATATTTCAAAAATTTTGATTAGCACATAGTAGTTGTACATACTGATGGAGTACAGTGTGATATATCAATACATACATACAATATGCACTGATAAAATCAGGATAATTAACACTTTTTGTCTTTATCATTACTATATGTTTGGAGTCCCCAAACTGCTCTTTCTCTTTTCTAGTTATTAATTTTATATATATATATATATATATATATATATATATATATATATATATATAGTTACTATCAACTAATTCACCCAACTGTGCTTTAGAAAATATAATTTTAAATTAAAAATATCACCTGACCAATGCAATGATAAAATAAACTAGTATGTAAATATAACATAGGATATTTTATTTGTAATCAGATTTTCTTTTATTTATTTATTCTAATCAATTATACATGACAGAAGAATGCTTTTCAATTCATTGTAAACAAATGGAGAAGAATTTTTCACTTGTCTGGTGTACCCAAAGTAGGGTCACACCATTCGTGCAATCATACAGGTAACTAGGGTAATGATGACAGTCTCATTCCACCAAATTTCCTATACCGATACCACCTCCCCCACTCCCCTTTGTCCCATCCAAAATTCCCCCACTCATTCTGTGCCTCCCCCATTAAGGATTAGCATCCACTTATCAGAGAAAATATCCAGCCTTTGGTTTTTTGGAACTGGCTTACTATGCTTGACATAATATTCTCCATTTACCTGCAAATGCCATAATTTTATTTTCTTTTATTGCTAAGTAATGCTCCATTGTGTATATACAACACAGTTTCACGGTTTCTTTATCTATTCATGTACAATAGGATATTTTAAATTAAATACCACAGTAGATATTAACAATGGTGTGACTAATGCTTTATACTATTCTAAGAGCTCCATATATTTTGTCTCATTCCATCATTACAGCCAATGTAGGAAAAATAGTAGAATGAATTGGACATTATTGCCCTATTTGCATATATAATTACATGACTAATGTAATACTACATC